CGTTTAATAAAGCCGGCCGGCTGGCTTTCCCGCGACGGATCTTTGTGGAATTTCGTATCAGTCACCGGCGCGGGCCGCACAATAGCGACGTGCCTCGTTGGGGACTTCGAATATCGCGCCGTAGGTGGAGCCCGATGGAACAATAACCCATGTGGGCACTCGTTTCCTCGATCATGCTTCCGATGGAAGAGCAAAATGTTACGGTGTCCCTTCGAAAGATCAGGGGTCAGTCCGTTCTGGAACTTACACGATCGTCTACTCCGGTTCCCGTGAGAATTTTCGAAATATTGCGGGCTTGTATTGAAGCTGGGAGAACGGACTTTACGATGGGTGCACTCTGGTTCAGAGTAAATTGCGAAATCGTGTCGGTGAATGGCCAAATATCGAACCCTAACTGTGACAGAGAAAATATCATGATTTTCAAGGCAAACTTCGAGGCGATGTTAAATCATTTTCTACGAGGAATTTTTGAGAGTTCGAGGGCTTAAATTAAAGCTTGGAGAATGCACTTTACGACGGATTACTTTGGGATCAAAGTAATAGTTTGAGATCTGTTTGAGGAATCGAAGAATCCCGACTGTCAACTGAAAGAGAAATGTCTGGATTTGGGGGGTAAACTTTGAACTGATGTTAAATCATTTTCCTCGAGGAATTTTTGAGTGTTAGGGGACTCAAATTAAAGTCTGGGAAACGCACTTTACGATGAGCTACTTTGAGATCAAAGTAATAGTTCGAGATCTTTTTGAGGAATCGAAGAATCTCGACTGTCAACTGAAAGAGAAATGTCTGTACTTGGAGGGCCAACTTTGAGCCGATGTTAAATCATTTTCCTCGAGGAATTTTTGATGATTAAGTGGCTCATATTAAAGTCTGGAAAACGCTCTTTACGATGGATTACTTTAGGCTCGAATAGACGGTTCGAAATCATTTTGAGAAGTCGAAGAATCTCGACCGGCAATTCGAAGAAAAATGACTCGATTTCAAGGGCGAACTTCGAACCGATTTTGATTCATATTCCCGTAGGAATCTTCGAACTTCGAATGGCTCGAATACAAGCTGAAAAAACGCACTTTACAACAAGTTAATTTTTATCGGGAACAGAATACGAAAACGCGACAAAAATTCACGAAATCCCGATGCAGAATCCACTGAAGAATGAAACCGAAATCGAACGAGGTAATAAAAGCATTGGAAATAATTCGTACGATACATGGGCGGTCGCATAATTGCGAGAAGAGGGAAAAAAAACTGCGAACGGAAATACTTGTATTTGTACCGTTTTCCCCCGTGAAACGATTTAAAAGCATCGCGGAAACGTTCGTTTCATAGTGCATTTTATTGTATCGCTGTCGGGCTCGCGGTAACTGCAACTTCAAATTAAAATTCACAGCCCGTCGACGAGATTATTTCAGGGCTGACCGTAAAACGAGGCGATCGTTTGAAAATTCGAAACGTTATTACCAAGAATTAAGCTCCCGGTGGCCGGCTGATAATATGCTTACACGGCTGGCCGATAGATCCGCGCGTTTTTTGAAGCGGATCCGCGGGCAAGACCCGCGGAAACTCAGTGCCGCACAGTGGTGAGTAACGTAATTTATTCGAGCTACTTTCCCCCGAAGCCATCGATGCACTTCCATTTGCATATAAATACGCATCGATACGCGTGGGCCGAAAATGCTACAGCACTGATACAAGCTGTGCGACGAGAACGATTCGTCGGACCAAATCTGGCGATCCCACATGCAGCCAAGAAATGCGTTTTTTTCTCTGCAGTGCCTAATAAATTCTGAAAAATTCTTGCTGGCCACATTTTAAAGAGTGAACTGTCCACTATCGAGGTATTAAACTCTCATGTTCGAGACATCTATATTTGTTTCTTAAAAATATTCGAAGGTCTAAGCATTGCGATGAGCAACTTCGGTTAATTTAATGTCAACGATACAACTCCCATTCAAAATGCTGTAGATGCGTGAGAAAAAATGGCTCGTCAATTCCTCAGACGTCAATGGAAAGAGGAGACTTTCTATTATGAAATGAATTTCAAGCGATTAAGGAAAACAAATTTTTCAACTTGGTAGAGTCGCCTGAATTTGTCAAGTTTTATTTGGTGAAGTAACTTTAGTTATTTTAGTGCTGATGGTACTAAAAGTACTGTCAAATCGCGAGAAAAAATCGTAGAGCACTTTTTAAGACATCATAGTAAAGGGGATACTTTTCTTTATAAGATCAGGGCAAAGGGATTCGGAGAAAAGAATTGTTCGACTCGGTACGGTTGTCCGAAGTTGTCAAACGATGGGGGTGTTTTTAGTTATTCTAACGCCGATGACACACTTCATTCAAAATACTGTAAAATCGCGGAAAAAAATCATAGATCACTTTTTAAGGTGCTACCATAAAGAGGAGACTTTACTTTATAAGGTAGAATTAAAGCGATTCGAAGAAAAAAATTGTTCGACTCGGTACAGTTGCTGTCTCTTATACACATCTACACCCCCATCATTTGACAACTTCGGACAACTGTATCGAGTCGAACAATTTTTTTCTTCGAATCGCTTTAATTCTACCTTATAAAGAAAAGTCTCCTCTTTGCGATAGCGTCTTAAAAAGTGATCTGCGATTTTTTTCCACGATTTTAGAGTATTTTGAATGAAATGTGCCACTGTCTCTTATACACATCTACACCCCCATCATTTGACAACTTCGGACAACTGTATCGAGTCGAACAATTTTTTTCTTCGAATCGCTTTAATTCTACCTTATAAAGAAAAGTCTCCTCTTTGCGATAGCGTCTTAAAAAGTGATCTGCGATTTTTTTCCACGATTTTAGAGTATTTTGAATGAAATGTGCCACTGTCTCTTATACACATCTACACCCCCATCATTTGACAACTTCGGACAACTGTATCGAGTCGAACAATTTTTTTCTTCGAATCGCTTTAATTCTACCTTATAAAGAAAAGTCTCCTCTTTGCGATAGCGTCTTAAAAAGTGATCTGCGATTTTTTTCCACGATTTTAGAGTATTTTGAATGAAATGTGCCACTGTCTCTTATACACATCTACACCCCCATCATTTGACAACTTCGGACAACTGTATCGAGTCGAACAATTTTTTTCTTCGAATCGCTTTAATTCTACCTTATAAAGAAAAGTCTCCTCTTTGCGATAGCGTCTTAAAAAGTGATCTGCGATTTTTTTCCACGATTTTAGAGTATTTTGAATGAAATGTGCCACTGTCTCTTATACACATCTACACCCCCATCATTTGACAACTTCGGACAACTGTATCGAGTCGAACAATTTTTTTCTTCGAATCGCTTTAATTCTACCTTATAAAGAAAAGTCTCCTCTTTGCGATAGCGTCTTAAAAAGTGATCTGCGATTTTTTTCCACGATTTTAGAGTATTTTGAATGAAATGTGCCACTGTCTCTTATACACATCTACACCCCCATCATTTGACAACTTCGGACAACTGTATCGAGTCGAACAATTTTTTTCTTCGAATCGCTTTAATTCTACCTTATAAAGAAAAGTCTCCTCTTTGCGATAGCGTCTTAAAAAGTGATCTGCGATTTTTTTCCACGATTTTAGAGTATTTTGAATGAAATGTGCCACTGTCTCTTATACACATCTACACCCCCATCATTTGACAACTTCGGACAACTGTATCGAGTCGAACAATTTTTTTCTTCGAATCGCTTTAATTCTACCTTATAAAGAAAAGTCTCCTCTTTGCGATAGCGTCTTAAAAAGTGATCTGCGATTTTTTTCCACGATTTTAGAGTATTTTGAATGAAATGTGCCACTGTCTCTTATACACATCTACACCCCCATCATTTGACAACTTCGGACAACTGTATCGAGTCGAACAATTTTTTTCTTCGAATCGCTTTAATTCTACCTTATAAAGAAAAGTCTCCTCTTTGCGATAGCGTCTTAAAAAGTGATCTGCGATTTTTTTCCACGATTTTAGAGTATTTTGAATGAAATGTGCCACTGTCTCTTATACACATCTACACCCCCATCATTTGACAACTTCGGACAACTGTATCGAGTCGAACAATTTTTTTCTTCGAATCGCTTTAATTCTACCTTATAAAGAAAAGTCTCCTCTTTGCGATAGCGTCTTAAAAAGTGATCTGCGATTTTTTTCCACGATTTTAGAGTATTTTGAATGAAATGTGCCACTGTCTCTTATACACATCTACACCCCCATCATTTGACAACTTCGGACAACTGTATCGAGTCGAACAATTTTTTTCTTCGAATCGCTTTAATTCTACCTTATAAAGAAAAGTCTCCTCTTTGCGATAGCGTCTTAAAAAGTGATCTGCGATTTTTTTCCACGATTTTAGAGTATTTTGAATGAAATGTGCCACTGTCTCTTATACACATCTAGATGTGTATAAGAGACAGGAATTAAAGCGATTCGAAGAAAAAAATTGTTCGACTCGGTACAGTTGTCCGAAGTTGTCAAATGATGGGGGTGTTTTTAGTTATTCTAACGCCGATGACACACTTCATTCAAAATACTGTAAAATCGCAGAAAAAAATCATAGATCACTTTCTAAGGTGCTGTCGTAAAGAGTAGACTTTACTTTATAAGGTAAAATTGAAGCGATTCACGTGCCCCTCGAAAACCGTTCCACGATAGCTGCTCTTCCCTCAAATACATCGATATCTCAAAGCGCGACCATCTGGCCGCGCTCAGAGGGTAGCAGACCGGCCATCGTCCGACGTCAAAGTATCCCCTGTTCCCGACGAAGTAACCAGCCCCGAATTTCGCCGTCGTCCTCGACGGAGACGCTATCGGATCGCGTTCTCCGCGATCGGGGCGGCCGTCGCCGTGCGTTAATTCGAAGGGAAAGGAATGAATGAGTCGCAGAAAGGGATCGTCGTTCCTTGAACGGGTTCGTGGTTAAAACGCGAGAGGAACACGAGGCGACTGCGCATTCCCGAGTCCGGTTGCCGCTTGAACTCCTGCGGAAGACGGGGCTCGGCGGATTTCACGGAGCCAACAGTGCGCGGACCGCCAGCACGCGACGCGGTTGCTCCGACGCGACGCCACGCGACGCTCTCTGCGCCGATCGCCATCGAACGCCCGTCGAATAACTCCGAAAACCTGCTATCGCTTCCTCGAGAAGCAGCTTTCTTCACCGCGAAGCTCCTCGACCGGGAGAATCCCGAAAAACGCGCGGAATCTCGGATTCCCGGCCAGCGAAAGCGAGCGGTCCCCGATCTAGACACCGTCGATCCGTCGAGCTCCGCCAGCTTCAGGGACAAGAACGAACGGTTTCTCATCTCGCGATTGATAAAAAAACGGTCGCGGCGGTCGCTTTTGTGGCGGCAGGGTCGATGATGACCGCGCGTGGTTCGTCGCCGACCGAGGAAACGCTGACAGGCGATCGCGGCGCGGCGCTCGATCGGCGCGGATCCTAGAGGATCTCGGTGGATCCCGCGGGTCCGGGGGTCCTGGGAGGGATCAGGGGACCCTGGAAGAGACGGTCGAAGGATATAGCAGTCGAGAGGAGCGCAATCGAGAGGAAAGTAATCGCGAAACGATGGCTGTTCGCCGCGCGTCCGCGCAAATATTTTACGGACGGGCCCCAGGGACGCTCTGAAACGTGTCGATCGAGGCGTCGGTTGCACGGTTTCAACGCGGATAGGAACAGAGCAAACAGCGCGGAGAGAGAGAGAGAGAGAGAGAGAGAGAAAGGGACTTCGTCGATCGGTCGTCGAAAGGGAATCGTCCCTTAAAAAGTGACGCGTTCGCCGACGAATCGCGTCGTCGGAAATAAATTGGTTCGAGCAGCTGGGAAATCGCTGGGGAACGTTGTCCACGGACGGCGCCTGGAAGGACTGTCGACTTCGATTCCGCTTCGAGCTGCACACTCGAGGAAAATGCGGCGCTCGGCGAAATGTTCCTGCGTTTTACGGTAACGCCGTAACCCTTTTACTATCGCGAAACCCTTTAATTTCTAGCACCGTTGCGCGCCGCGCCGGGCCGCGCCGCGCCGTGACGTCCGTCAGTGTCTCTGCGATTTGTAGAATTGCACCGTTCGCTGACGGAAATGATTGGTAGAACGTGGATCCTTGTGGATTCTCGTGGATCCTCGTGGAAGAGACGGGATTCGAATGGAAATTCGTTTCTCGTTGGAATGGAAACCGAGAACTTCGCGTTTTTCTCGTTTTTGGGAGATCGAGGCACTTCGGAAACTTTCTCGACGAAGTTTTCGAATTTCCGGGGGCTTCAATGAAAGCTGCGAGAGTGCACTTTGTACGATAGATGCATTTCAAATTGCAGGGACACTCGGAATTATCGGTAAACGTCGATGGATCCTGATCGACAGGATCGGATGAATATTAAAGGGTGGTTATGGATGGATTATTTAAATCTGTTCCTGGGGGAGTTTTTGTACTTTTGAGGGCTCGAATGGAAGCTTGGAAATCGTACTTTCTGATAGGGTCGTTTTGATTTGAAAGAGAATCTGGAATTGTGCTAGAGAAATTGATAAATCATGATCGATAGCTTAGAGGAATATTTATAGATTTTAGGGGCTTCTTTCGAGTCAATTTTAAAATTGATTTTCGTGGGAGCTTTTGAACATTCGACCACTCAATTGAAAGCTTGAAGTTCATACTTCATGATAGAGGTGTTTTCGTTCAAGAGAAAATTCGAGATCGCGTGACAGACACTGGTAAGTGATGATCGATAGCCCAGATAGAGATCGTCCGATATCAAGGGCCTCCTTCGAGTCGATTTTAAAATACGTTCTCATGCGAATTTTTATACTTCTCCGAGCTCGAATGAAAGCTGAAAAACTTCCCTTCATGATAGGATCGCTTCGATTCGAAAGAAAATTCGAAATTGTGTAAGAAAAATTGAAAAATCGTGATCGCTGGCTTAGAGGAAAATAACCAGATATCAAGGGCTTTTTAGAAGTCAATTATTAAAATGCATTCTCGCGAGAATTTTCAAACCTCTCCGGGGTCAAACGAAAGCTCGAAAAGCGCACTTTGTAACAGATCGATTTAGAAGCGCAGAAAAATTCCAAATCATGAACAAACATCGATAGATCCCGATCGATCCCTCGGAATACAACACGTGGACATTAAAGTATTTCTTCGTATCGATTTCAAAATTCGTTCCGGTCGCAATTCCGAAACTTTCGAGGGCTCAAACGAGAGCTTGAAGATCGCGCTTTACGACAGTGTCACGTACGTTCAAAGAAAAATCCCGCAAACCCCGAAAAACAGGCGCCGCGGCATCGCCGAATCCCAAGGGCTTCCCTTTCCTTCTGCTTTCCCGAGAACGCGACCGAGCACTCTAAGCTCGCGCACGATCCACGAAAGGATAGCAGACGAATTTGCAACTAATTTCTGCGAAGATGGCCGACATTCGGTGCCTCGAGCATAATTTGGCCGCCGCGGATGTTAGCATCGCGGAAACAAGCGCGGGAAACATATAACGCAACGGGAGCCCGGGGTTATCGAAAATGAGAAGAGAAGAAAGGAAAGCAGAAGGCAAAGAAGAAGAAGAAGAAGAAAAAGCGAGAAAAAAGATCGAACCGGCCGATATCAGGTTCGGAAAGTTCTGGCTGGTGGGCGGGTACATCGAAAGTTCCTCCATTTACGGCGCACGCATTGTCCCGTTTATCCTTTTAGAAGAAAATACCCTAAGTTTACGCGGAGCCGGGCCGCGCGCGCGCCGCCACGTAACTTTTACAAAAGGGGTAGTTTATGAAGGTCAGGCCGCTTCTGATATCGCGGCCGCGGACTTAAAAAAGACTTTTCCCGGGCCGTATAATCTCCGGTTCAGCGACGGGTCGCCGGAATCCAGCGTGCGCCTTTTGTCCCGCCGCCTGTCGCCAGAAGATATCGCTTTTTTTACAGACAGCCGGCGCTCTCGATTTCAATTTTACAGCGGGCTCCGGCTCGTTCCCGACACCCTCCGCGAACTCCCAGGGCAAGGGTCCCAGTTACCGACGCATTAACGCTCGTTTCTCGTCCGTCCGTGGACGTGCGACACCCTTGGAAATAAGGGCACCCTTTAAAACGGTATAACTTCTTTCAAACCGGGCCGAACGACTTGAAGTTCTTTTTAGAAAATAGTGCGAACAGTCTAGTTTACAACGAGTTACATTTTACCGCTACTCGAGATCAGAAACAATATAAAAATCTCACGTTTTTTAACTGACTTATCAGAGCATGAAATTTAAAAAATGCAGATTTCAGGGACTTGTTGTGCATGCTGAAAATTTCATCGGAATTTGTTCACGTAAATATAAATACAATAAGATATAAATATATATATAAAGTATATATATATAAAGTATAAATATATATAAATATATATATTTATATTAACTGTTCACCACAGCATTTTCAGCTGAAAGAAATCTAACGCGCGACACCCTTGAAAATAAGAGCACCCTTTAAAACGGTATAACTTCTTACAATCTGGGCCGAACGACTTGAAGTTCTTTTTAAAAAATAGTGCGAACAGTCCAGTTAACAACGAGTTACACTTTACCGCTACTCGAGATCAGAAACAATATAAAAATCTCACGTTTTTTAACTGACTTATCAGAGCATGGAACGAAAATTTAAAAAATGCAGATCTCAGAGACTTGTCGTGCATGCTGAAAATTTCATCGGAATTTGTTCACGTAAATATAAATATAATAAAATATAAATATATATAAAAAGCATATATATAAAGTATAAATAAATATAAATATATATATTTATATTATCTGTTCGCCACAGCGAAGAAAATCAGCGTAAAATTCGAACATTTTCTCGCACATCACACGGTATATCGTTCTCTACTTACACAACGGAATATTTTCAGCTCGTCGAAGGCTCGCATTCGCTATGAAATTGCCCTAACCCCCTCGCAATAGCGTACGCTTGTACCCTCCGCTCGGATATATCACCGTCGAGCGATCCGAAATCTTCAAACGCTGACGAGTAAACGGGACGCGAGAGATTCGGAGAGACGAAGCTTCCGACGCTTTGATCAGGCGAATCGTGTTACCCACAGGCAGCGATACTGTGAAATCTTTGTCACGGCAAGTTCGAGGGAAGTTCTTCGAGCATTCTTGTGTCTGACAATCGTATGGTAATTCGCGCTTCGGATCGGGAGACAGAGTCGCGGCGAAATCTCGCCGGCTTCCGTAACGACGAGACACCGCGAATGGTCTTTGTGGAAAACAAAAATCGTCGAAGTTAATTGAAAACAAAAACAAAAAAAGGAAAGAAGAGTATAGTCGAAACGACGTCTTTCGTGCTTCAAACGATTGTCAGAAATTCGGAACGATGTAAGTAAGAACGTTCGTGAACTTCTTCTCGCCTCTTCGGAATTTTGTGTTCGACCTGTTCGCTCTTTTGTCATAAATCCATAAAATCCGCGGTCTAGTAATGACATCGGTGACTGGGAAGTAGAATTCCATTTCGATCCAGGGGGTATTAAGTTCTCGAAGACTTATTCATTGTATAATTACGTCGTAGACGGCCGGCTCTCCGATTCAGGAAACTGCGACGTAATTCTCGTTTCTCCGGGATTTCGTGCGACTCGGTGACCATGATTCGACGTTTAAATTTTTAGACGAGTCAGATCTCTCGACGAATTAGATTTTTTTCAGAGGAATTGGATTTGCAGACGAATTGGATTTTTAGACGAATTAGAAAAGACAAGGAAAATCGCACGAATTCGAAGCGATGGTAGAGATGAAATTTGAGATGCGTTCCCGGAGAGCTATTTCTACGCGACATAGCTTGAATGAAAACTGGAAGCGTCTACTTTAAGATAGGGTAGATTAGATTGCAATGGAATGACGAGGTAGTTATGTAAAAATAAAAAGAATCGACCTTCTGACCTCATGGAATTTACAAGATTTAAAAAAAAAGTTCAGATGGATTTTGAAATACGTCCCCACAGAGCTATTTCTACACGACTTAGCTTAAATGAAATCTGGAAGCGTCTACTTTAAGACAGAGTAGATTAGATTGCAATAGAATAACGAAATTGTTATGAAAAAATAAAAAAGATCGATCTGTGACCTCATGGGATTTACAAGATATAGAAGGAAAAGTTCGGATGAATTTCAAAATGCGTCCCCACTAAACTATTTCTACGCGACTTAGCTGAAATGGAAGCTGGAAGCGTTTACTTTATGACAGAGTAGATTAGATTGCAGTAGAATAACGAAATTGTTATGAAAAAATAAAAAGAATCGATCTGTGACCTCATGGGGTTTATAAGATATAAAAGGAAAAGTTCGGATGAATTTCAAAATACGTTCCCGCAAAACTATTTCTACGCGACTTAGCTTAAATGGAAGCTGGAGGCGTCTACTTTAAGACAGGGTAGATTAGATTGCAATAGAATGACGAAGTCGTTATGTAAAAATAAAAAGAATCGACCTCTGACCTCGTGGAATCTACGAGATATAAAAGGAAAAGTTCGGATGGATTTCAAAATACGTTCCCACCGAGCGATTTCTACGCGACTTAGCTTAAATGAAAGCTGGAAGCGTCTACTTTAAGATAGGGTAGATTAGATTGCAATGGAATGACGAGATCATTATCAAAAAACTAATAGAAATCCACCTGTGACCTCATGAGGTCTACAAGATATAAAAGCAAAAGTTCGGATGGATTTTAAAATGCGTTCCCGCAGAGCTATTTCTACGCGACTTAGCTTGAATGAAAGCTGGGAACGTCTACTTTAAGACAGGGTAGATTAGTACGGTGCGATATTTTCTTACAAGAAAACGCGAACGAACTTGTTACGCAACCCAATAAAATGAAATTTCTTTTCCCAACGGAGAGTCCCCTTCGGCATGATTTCGTGCAATGATCCGCGCTCGAATAATTACTCCCGGCAACTTAGGGGCAGAATGGATGGCACGAGCGATGGTTTATGGAAGCC